ACACCTTGATTGAGAGGTCTACGGATCGTCTATTCAACAGTCAAAATGTTGCATAAGAAGATTGAAATTAAAATGGATTATCATGGGATTAATTGAATCTTGCAGAGGTCTCTTACTGAGAATTGAACATCGAAGGGTCGTCTAGTTGAAAAAAATACGTCGAAAAAAAATTATAAACTCTAGTTTTTTTTTCGAAAGTCGCCTTATTTTGAAATGAATTCATTCCATACATTTGCATCATACTGTATATTAATTCTGTCGTCTTTCATACCTTTTCATTCGTTCCTAGAATACCACTTCTCTAATGTTTTTATCGATCGAGAATCTTTCTTCACCACGGTAAATTCATACTCATATAGCACCAGTACGTCCCCAAAACGTACTGAGAACGTTCGGCCAAGATGTTTCGTACGGACTGGGGACGTCCAGATTAAGACCGTAGACGTACTAGGTACGTCTAGATTCCGCGCATTTGTACATCCCCAGTACGTCCATTCAGATATTATTCTGATTCGAAAAATTGAAAAAAAAAAGCGCTCCTACCAGGAATTGATACCAGGATCTCAAGATAACCGGGCAGATACTCTACTTATTACTCTACATACATTATTAATGTCGATTATGTCGATTGACCCTTCACATCGATACTTCCACAGAATTAGATGATCATATAGGTACCGCCTGAATTAATGTTCTCTGAATTGTGAGAATTGTATTATGTTCATGTTTGCCAGGTTCCTACATAAATAGTTTTCAATTATGATCATTGAATTTATTCAATCCCATCCACAAAAAGTCGATAACGTCCAGAGTTGGACGTGCTCAGTAGATCGGAATCGTACGTACCCAGTACGTCTAGAGATAGACGTTTTCAGTAGATACGTCTTGAAAAGGTCCAAGACCTTATTCAGACAAAAATAATAATATGGACGTCCCGAGGATGTCGAGCGCTATATGGGTATAAATGATTATAGGGATGATCATTCTAGTTATTTATTTATAAAGGACGTGAAATTTGTAATAAGAGCCCGCGAGCGATATCGAAGGCTTTCAACACGCCTAGGTCCATAGAAGAAAAGTTACACCCGAAATACATACAACATTATGTGCACAACCGGTATATTCGATTTTGTATTGTGAATACGTCTTCACCTCCAAGAACGATAAAAATACATCATGGCTGCAGTAAGGAATATTATTGATGGAACTTATTTTGGGGTGAATCATATTTTACATTTCGGAAATATCAAGAGAACTGTGTAATATTAGATACGGAACCATCACAAAACTGAAACGATAGGGTCCTTAATTGTATATTAATACTTATCAGAAGTTACTTATACGCCGGGCATTGAAGTTTTACCCGCGGGATAATGTGCCACTTCATGCCCGCAAAACCGGACAGTAAAGTGCTACTTTACGCCTGGTCGTAAATATCCTTGATACACTGAAATAAATAGTTGGTAGTAAATACCAAACGTTTAGTAAAATAGACGCCAGTCACTACATTCATATAATAATACCACTACAAAGCTGTTTATTACTATATTGTTTCAAATAAAACCACTCCAAAATAGTTTATACTAATAGTATAGTATGATACAATTATGTTGTGGTATTATTTGTCGATTGTAGTGACTGACGCCTAATTAAACTAATAATGATTGGTATATTCACTATCGACTATTTCTCTGTGTGTGGAACTATTGCAATTGCAAATTACAATACCATTTTATTTTCTGATGTAGTCGTGAAAATTTATCGAACGTGTAAAAGAAACGTTTGAATATTTCATAAATACCGTCATGATTAACAGCTCGTCAATTTTTATTGCAGATGGGGTACATAATTTCATCATGAAATATTACTACATACAATTTATATAAGTGCTATCCAATCATCTTGATGCATCCTTGAAGGTGAGTTTGATACAATCAGTACAAGATCATGGACATACCACATTTCGAGTTTCTGAGGTACATCATGATATTCTCAGGAGTATGGGGGATGGAGCTTGATACGAAATCGAAAAGAATTGAATATATCTACAAAATCTACACCATCTTCATGCAGTCTGTCTTTGCTAGCTACGTAGTTAGGTCGATGATAAAGCTAGCACTGATTTGGCACGTAGATAAAGCCAAAACTATGGAGAATCTAGGAATAACAATTTCGATACTGATCATTTTCATGAAGCTCATGATTTGTCAATCAAAAGAGATAATGGATCTACTGCGGAAGATTTTGGCTGATGAAAAAGTAATTTTGAATTCTAGCAGACAGGATGATAAAAACGTGTATTCAGATTACGCTAAATATACGTTCAAGGTAAGGAGTTGAGGACATTTGGGAAGCAATTGTTGTTTTCATCCTAGCTGAATTTGAATTTCGGTTTCTCGGGTTCTTACACTACAGTAAATCATGATAATCAGTTATCTGGTTATCTTTATCCAAATTAGACTAATATACCCACATAAAAGTGTATCAAACTTGATGAAAGAACTAATTCGAACTGCAGACTGTGTGTTCAATAGGTAAAATCCAATGTTCGTCGTGGCATACAGCTGGGAAAGTAGTTGTTCCCTGTTCAATATAACAAGAAAAAATCAATATTTTCATCACAAAGAGAATATGAATTCTCAATGTATTTCTATATACAGTGTGATCATTTAAGAGTGCAACATATGGAAATCTTTTTAATGAATTGCCCAAGCAAAATACAGATAGTGCCGAAAGATGGCGCATGTTCGGTAATCATTTTAGGTGCACTCAGAATGGTTGCAAGTCACACAGCATACAGGGTAGGTCAGAAAATATAAAAATTGCTCAAGAGTAAAGTACCCTTATTTCAGGAACTACCATCAACTACCTCAAATGGTAAGAAAGACAGACAATCAGACTTAGTTTTTGCTCTCACCTAACCTACTTGAAGTCTTATTGGTGCTTCCAGGCATTTAAAATGTTACTTGGGAATATGATTTCAGATAACTGCTACAATAACATTTTATACAAACGTGGTTCTGGCACTGACGATTATCCTTCTCAATTTCATAAACAACCTTAGATAAGAGAGACAATAATCAGACTTTTTTGCTCTCACGTAAACTATTTGGAGTCTCACTGGTGCTTTCAGGTATTCAAAATATTATATTTGATTTCAAATAACTGCTATCATAACATTTTATGCATACGTGGTTCTGGCAATACCAATGATCCTTCTCAACTACATAAACTACCCCAAATGGCAAGAGATACACACTGTCAGACTGATTTTTTGCTCTAACATAACTTACTTAGAGTCTCACTGGTGCTTTCAGGCATTTCAAATGTCACTTGGGAAATGTAATTTCAGATAACATTCTGATCCTTCTTCAATACAAAAAGTACCTCAAATTGCAAGAGAGACAGACAATTAGACTCATTTTTTGTTCCTGCCTAGTTGAACTTACCTAACCTAACCTAACCTAAACTAGGTACTCGAAGTGTCACTGGTGCTTCCAGGTATTTCAAATGTAGTATGGGGAATGTGATTTCAGATAACTGCTACTATGACATTCTATAAAAACATGGTTCAAGCAATTCCAATCATCCTCCTCAACTATGTAATCTACCTCAAATGGCAAGAGAGACAGATGATCAGACTTATTTTTTGCACTCACATAACTTACTTCAAGTCTCACTGGTGCTTCCAAGTATCCCAAATGTAACTTGGCATATGTAATCTCAGATAACTGTCACCATAAAATTCTATACAAACGTTGTGGTTCTGGGTCTGCCGATGATCCTTCTCAAATACATAAACTACCCCGAATGGCAAGAGAGACAGACGATCAAATTTAGTTTCTGCTCTCACATAACCTACTTGACGTCTTAATGAGAATTTCTGGTATTCGAAATGTTGCTTGGAGAATATGATTCCAGATAACTGCTACTATAATATTCCATACATACGTGGTTCTTGAACTTGATCCTTATTCACTACTTTATAAACTACCTCAAATGACAAGAGAGACGGATGATCAAACTTCTTCGCTTCTTTGCTCTCACATAACCTTTTTGAAGTCTGAATGATGCTCTCAGCTATTCGAAATATTACTTGGGAATTGTGATGTCAGATAACGGGTACCATAACATTCCATGCATACGTGGTTCTAGCACTACCGATCATCATTTTCAACTACATGAACTACCCCAAATGGCATGAGATACAGACGATCAGACTAATTTTTTGCTCTTACATAATCTACTTAGAGTCTCATTGGTTACATGTTACTTGGGAAATGTAATTTCAGATAACTGCTACCATGACATACTATATGCATGCGTGGTTCTGGCACTACCAATGATCCTCATCAACTACATGAACTACTCTAAATGGCAAGAGAAACAAACGATCACAGACTTATTTTCTGCTCTCACATAACTTACTTAGAGTCTCACTGGTGCTTTTAGGCATTCCAAATGGTACTTGAGAAATGTAATTTCAGATAACATTTCATACAACATATTACGTTGTTCTGACACTCCCATTGATTCCTCTCAAATTACATGAAGTACCTCAAATTAATTGTGAGAGAGACATACCATTAGACTAATTTTTTGTTTACACATAACCTACTCCAAGTTTCATGAAACCGTGGTTCTGGCACTTCCAATCATTCTCCTCGAATACATGAATTATCTAAAATGGCAAGAGAGACTGAGAGACGAATGATCAGACTCATTTTTAGCTCTCACATAACCTACTTCGCAGGTCACATCGGTGCTTTCAGGTATCCCAAATTTTACTTGGGAAACGTGATTTCAGATTGAACTGCTACTTCAACATTCTATATAAACATGGTTGTGGCACTTCCAATCATCCTCCTCAACAACATAAACTAACTAAAATGGCAAGAAAGACAGACGATCAGACTTAGTTTTTGCTCTCACATAACCGACCTAAAGTCTTATTGCTGCTTTCAGGTATTCAACATGTTACTTGGGTAATATGATTTCAGATAACTGCTACTATAACATTCTATACATACGTGATTCTGGCACTACCGATGATCCTTCTCAACTACATGAACTACCTGAAATGGCAAGAGAGACAGATGATCAGCAACATCACAGAACCAAAACCTCTTCCGGTAGTCATCTGGTATCCATTCGATGAAGACAAACACTATTTCCTAGCATTCGGGCTCGACTCTGTGTCCATATTAGTCGCTTCGACCTATAACAACTTCACCCAAACATTCTTCGTCACGACGATGAGCTTCATGATTGCCAGATTGATAATTTTGCAGCAGCATTTCAGGAAGTTCGATGAAAATGAGAACGGCGAATCCATTGCTGATGAGGAATTGGTTCTGCTGACTCTGAGAGGTTTTGTTTTGGAACACTTGGAGATCATGGGGTGAGTTCGTCAAAACATGATCATAATATTCTCTTCACAAAGTCAGTTGGGACACTTCCGTTTCTGAAGTTGATACCACAATTCATTATAGCTGGAGAGCTCGTGAACCTTTTATATAACGGTTTGTCTGTAAGTCTAGAGATTTGTAAAGTGATGGATCAAAGGCTGTTGAGTACGAAAACCATGACCTGGCCTCACCCTTGCACGTCACCATCTCCCATATGTTTCAAAGTGTGAAAATAATTCAAAAAATAAACATGGCGTTGTAAACTTGTAATTTTGTCATGATCCTATTTAGGTATTGCAGAAAATTGGAAAGTGGGTGCCAGGCGAGTCAAAAAGTGCGAAAAAGAGGACTGAAGATAAACAGATTGAAATTCACACACATGTTCAACTAAGGTATTCAGAGCATACATGTGCAATGACTGGCGATTCTTGCCAGCAAAGTACCTGACAGGCGAGGAAGAAGGTGCTTTACGAGTATACGTTTCAGTGCGAGAAATAAAAGATAAAAATGAAAATTTTGGAAAAAACATGTTCCATCCACTAATGTTCTATGACAACTTCTGAAATTTGATATCTGATATCATCCGACTCTTCACTGTAGTCTTTGTGTTGTTCATAAATAGAAAAATAATCATACATATTTGAGAAAAAATTGGATGTACCATCATAATTTCCAGCCAATCTGACGTCTCTTTCAAAAACACAATTTTTTTTTAACAAAATGAAGCCATTTGAGTAATCAAACTTCCATAATGCTGCTCCTACAGAGGTAGACCTTTTTAGGTTACATGGTAACCAACATTTCCACTTGCTTCCTCTGGTAAAACGATATGATTAAATTCCAAATTATGATTTTTTCTGAATCTCGATATTGTTTTGATTTTATCAAAAGTGGTTGTGGTGAATGTCACAATTTTTTCAATAGTTTTTTTCCACAAATCACACAAAAACCGTATTCTGATTCTATTTTTACAGGTATGTTATCAACTTCAACAATGTTAATGTACTGAGATGACATATTCGCATACATACCTGACAGATCAGAATTTACTCACCACAGCCCGCTAAACGTAACATCTTCGTCGCAACCGACTTAAAATTGTAGCACCTTCTTTCTCGCCTGTCAGGTACAGGGTGATTCACCATAAATGTCCCCCCCTCTAGCTCACTTATTTTTGAACCGATTTATAAATTTGAAAAATGATCTAAAATGATTTTTCAGATTTTTTTTCCAGTTGCATCAGAAAATACAGGGTGCTCGGAACAAATGATCTACAGAGTACTACTTGATTTTTTCTAATAGAACACCCTGTATTTCATTGTATTTTTGGATTCTTCCTGAAGAGCTGATTTCATCGATATATCACATTTGGGGTCTAGCGGGAATGATTACAGAGATATAGGGTGTTCAAAATCGAGATTTTTCAAGTTTAGGATTTTTTTTCTCGAAACTATTCATTATTGGTCGAAACGGCTTCTATGTTTCCATCTTAACTTTTGATTTACTGTCTACTGACATTTAATTGGAACATTTACAGGGTAGTTGAAGATTCAGAATTCTGATCACCCTGTATCTGTTCCAATTATCAAATGTCAGTAGATAGTAAATCAAAAGTTAAGATATGGACATAAAAGCCGTTTTGACCGATGATAAATAGTTTCGTCTCAAAAAAATACTAAAGTTGAACAATCTCGATTTTGAACACCCTATATCTCTGTAACCATTCCCACTAGACACCAAGTGTAATACATCGATCAAATCAGCTCGTCAGGGAGAATCTGAAAATACAATGAAAAATAGGGTGTTCCATATAAAAAAATCAAATTGTACCCTGTAGACCGTTTGTTCCGATTACCTTGTATTTTCTGATGTAGCAGGAAAAAACTTTATCTAAAATCATTCAAGATGATTTTTTAAATTTTGAAATCGGATTGAAAATAACCGAGTTAGAGGGGGGGACATTTATGGTGAATCACCCTGTACTTCTGCTGGTCAGGATCGCCTGTCATTGCATACGTGTGCTCTAAATACCTTTGTTAAAAATGAGTGTGAATTTCAATCTTACAGAGCGAAGTTTATGTTCAGTCCTCTTTTGCGCACTTTTGGACTCGCCTGGCACCTTCTTCTGCTCATCAGAATAGCCTGTCAATTTTTTTCTCTATTCTGCAATACCCAAATAGGATCATAATGAAATCACAAGTGTACAGCGCCAAGTTTATTTTTCAAATTATTTTTACACTTTGAAACATATGGGGGATGGAGTCCAGCCAGGTCATGGTTTACGTACTCAACAGCCTTTGATTCATCACTATTCTAGCCTTACAGACAAACAGTTATATAAAAGGTTCACGGGCTCTGAGACTATCAATTTTTCATCACATTCTGAAAGGAATCGATGAGTTACTCTTTATTGACCTTTATTTGCTGTTATCAAATCAATTATTCACGAAATCCGACAGATTTCACGTTTGAATAGGACCGTGATGTGAATATAAGTGTTTGAGGTCGACGAAAAAATGTAATATGGACTTTGGCAAAAAACTGTCTATTGTCTTGCCTGTTTTCTAGCCCCGGCTATGGCTTCGGCACCAATTTGCAGACATGAATAACTTTTATTCGACGGTAATTACCATACTCGCGCAATTATAAAATTCATTTATTCGTTTTGAGATCAGAGATTGACTGAAAAGAAATTCATTGATACCTTATTTGCGAATAAATTCCATCTTTATACACTAAGAATCCTTTTTTTGTTCAAATTGGTTATAAGTTCTTTCAAAAACATCCATACTACTATAGGTACCTTTTCAAGTTCAAATTGAGACTCATCAATTCCAAATCGGGATTGAGCACATCCAAATTGGTGAACAAATGGGAACATGGGAATGAACTTTTTCAATTTGCGACCAAACAACTTCAAATTGGCAAACGACAATTGCAAATTCGAATTGTCAAAGTTATGTCAAAATTGAGATTGAATAATAGTGATCATTCATCGTTCCTGATATGTAATCGAGTTGATATGCCTTATACTGGGTATTTACGAGAACATTTAGATTTTTTGTTGTATACACTGAAAGATATTCGTAAAGAACCCGAGAGAACCAATTGCGAAGAAAATGAAATAAGACGACGTGATCATGTAGAGCAGCTTTTGATTTATCAAGGGCGGTCCGGTGGTCGAGAGCGCGAGGCGCTGAGTTCGTATGGGGACTCCCACCGAGGCATGAGTTCGAATCCCAGTTAGGCCATGAATGTTTGTAAACGTATGCTTTCCTAACCTCGCACAAGTTTCGACTTATGGGGCGTTGGATCCAGTGCTAGGTCCAACGAGGACATGCAATTGAAAAAAAAATAAAAAAAATAACATTCCAATTATATACTGTAAGAGTCTTTATCCTGGGGCCCTTACTTTGACGCTCTGTTCAGGACAGGAGACTACTCTGGTATTTGACAGGGGGGGATTCTCGAGCGCCAGATTTTTGATAAAGGTGATTTACTTCACCTGCTCCTCCCAACTTAGTCGGGAAGGAGGCCCACAGTAGCAACAGTGGAGAAAGGTACAGGAGGTATACCTACCTCGGTACCCACAGTATAATCCAGGGGTCAATGGTATTGAATCGACCTGGAATCAATAAGTAGCCACGGGAGTGTATGCTTTAATTACAAACCCTGGGTTTAGCCTGGAATACTGGTTGCTATTTTCAGTCGGTATAATTACAGGAATCAAAACAAATTATCTCTCAGGTCTCTGGTATTTTGGGGTTAGGGTTATCAAAACGTTTTTATGAGAGTCGTTTCTCAATCAATATCCTGTAAGTTATGGAATATGATAATTCAATATATTATGTGAGAATACAAATTCGACACTGTGTTTCTATTGAATTTCCTGTTTGGTATTAACAGGCTCGCTACCGACTCAAAATCAATTTCATATCGTTTATTTCCAATTTGAAATTGATTAGTTCCAATTTGAATTTGTTTAGTCTCAATTTGGATTTGCTTAAGTCCGTGCAAGACCATCTTGTCCCAATTAGAATTTGATTATTCTCATTTTGAAAGTGATTAGTTCTAATTTGAATTCGTTTATCTTCAATTTGGATGTGTTAAGTCCATGATGAATCATTTCGTCCCATTTTGAATATGATTAGCTTTAATTTGAAGTTGAAAAGGTGGAGTGCAGCACTTTGGATTGCAATTATTTCAATTCCCATATCTCAATTAACCCCATCTGATAGTCGGAGTTTATGAGACTCCACCTCAGTAGTTGAAGGAGAATAATTCAACTCAGTGGTTACGGGTTGAGAAAATCTATAAAAAATTGAGTACTGTATTGCTAGGACGCTATAGTCGACCTTGGGAGTAATTGACAATCATTGAACTTACTTACCATCATTCTACAAGTCATCAGAAATCAACTGGTGACCTGCTCGCTTACGTCTCACATCTAATATGGCAGCAATCTATTGAAAAATATGGTGACATCTCTGCACTTGATATATCCAAGGCATTCGATGGAATCTGGCACCACGGACTCCTCGCCAAGCTTCCATCTTATGGCTTGCCTCCCCATCAGCTATGTTCTCTGCTAGCTAGTTTTCTCTCAAACATGTCTCTCCATGTAGTGGTCGACGGAGTTTCATCTGACTCTCCCATCATGAATGCTGCTGTTCGCAAGGATCAATTCTAGCACCAACATTATTTTTACTCCATATCAACGATTTGTTGGAAGCAACTTCATGTCCAGTACACAGCTTCGAGGATGATAGTACCCTCCATAATGCCTTCTCTTCCAGGGCTCCTATACCAGCTAGGAAGAAATG